TTCAGAAATCCTTTCCAGACAAGTAATTTTATTAAAGCTGCATGTAATTTAATTGGAAGCAATCTGAAACTGATCAAAAGTCTATTCCTATTCTCTTTTTCTTCTTCTTCATAAAAACACTGGCCGTTAATCTTAAGCTTATGATGATTCGTCTTGTAACCTCCTTCGTATATGAAATATATGTCAATGTTTCCGTAAGAGTGAAATTCTATGAATTCACTTTCTTTCGACTTTCCATCCGCCTATCACTTTTTTGTTGAAACACTAAGATTGGAAAAATGCAGAGAAAGCATTTGAAATTAGTCTGCTATGTTCTGCGTTGGGTGCAGCTCGATTTCGAAAATGTTCATCATAAGAACAAAAGGTTATATAAAAATGCAATACGAATTGACACGTCCCGCAATTTATAAATCATTTTGAACAGCTCTTTTCTAACCCGATCTGATATTAGATTCAAATCAAAGACTAGTTTCGGCGGTAATACTCGCTACACGCATGATGCAGGTATCCAAAAACGCGTAACAAGGTGCACTAATAAAGGTGGTGCGGGAGCTTAACACGTGATGCATATCGTAATAAAACGAGAGGATACGTTTTATTATCCATAGCTCGCAAGTTTACTTACGTAATCCAGAATAATTATACAGATTTACTTGTTATATGAAAAATGAACGAATGGTATGTGAAGAGCTTTTTCCCCCGGACACCAGTTCCCTTACTCTCCCGAACTGCCTGCAAACAATTGAACTGTTCTTGCGAATTCTCTCGCACTTAGCCCCTTTCTTCTGAAAGGATTTCTGGGTTGAATACTACTATCATTGTATCTATAAAGATCATGATTTAAGCCAGAAATTTCACACTGTTGCATTTGGGAGCTGTACGTATAGATCAAAGAAATACATTATAGGAAAGAGAAATCAAAAATTTTGAATTACGAAATGCTCTCCTTGATTGGCAGTTACACTGCAACACATACGTTATAAATGGACTTAATATTTCGCTCCCATGGCCGATAATTTGTGACCAATTAATGTAGATTTGAAGTTGTTATTGATTCACAACTCACATGCTCAGAGGTCGTATCTCTCTTGTTTCATGTGTACATGATCGACCATATTTAATAAAAATTCGTTAGCTTGCAAAAGTCTTTTTTTACCCATATTTTTTTATTCATATTTTTACTTCTGTCTTCCTGTTATTTGCTATTGCTTATTAAAATTGTTTTTCATTTAGATTCACATCACATCAAGCTTTTCGAAATGTACTAAAAGAGATCAACGATTTGGCCGGTCAAAGAGAAGTGGTGGCCGAATCTTTACAGCTGCAAATAATTCAGGGCATTACTTTACTTTCAAAAACGTTACGAGAGGAACGAAAGGTGCATTTTAAAGAGTTCAATTTTTATATATGAAAATAATGATTATCAAATTATTCCTTCTCTTTCTTTACCGTTTCATAGAAATGCTTATCAAATGGTACATACTTGCAGCAGAATCTTAGTTCGCAATTATCTGCACTGGAGAGAGCTAAACGTAATTATGAGAAAGCTTATCGTGATTCAGAAAAAGCGGTTGACAATTACAAAAAAGCTGACATGGATCTGAATTTAAGTCGAGCCGAAGTGGAACGTTATAAAAATATAATGACTGCCAAGATACAACAGTCGGACGATGCGAAAAATGAATATGCTAATCAATTACAAAAAACCAATAATTTACAGCAACAGCATTACAACGAGCTATTGCCAGAGGTAAATATATAGCAATTGAATAACGACGACTAACATTTGAAATAATTTATTGTAATGCAATTTGTAGGTATTTAATCGTCTGCAAGAGCTCGACGAGAAACGTACACGAGGTATACGTGAATTTATAATAGGCGCTGCTGATGTTGAGTCTTCAGTTGCTCCCATAATAGCTCGTTGTCTAGAGGGGATGGTTAAAGCCGGCGAATCCATTAACGAGAAAGAAGATTCCTATAAAGTTATTGAGAGGTTGATTATTTTTGTTGCTATAATTTGCTTTGCCTGCTCATTGATATGCTTTCCATTTTCATTTCGCTTTTAGGTATCAATCCGGTTTTACACCACCGACCGATATACCTTTCGAAGATCTTTCCAAACAAGACCCCGAATCCTCACAAGAGTCTCACTACAATAATGTGCAGTCCAGTCATCTAACAGTTAAGGGTACCATCAGCGCGAATAGAATTAAGAAACGCGTGGGCATATTCAATATATTTGGCAGTAACAAGGTTCGTACTATATCATATAACACACACACTTTACTAACGGTAAACACGATATATATGGAGTGGGTGAAGGGGACGGTCGCGCCCGGAGCGTATAAAGGTAAATTTGAATTCAATTGGAAGAGGCTCGTAAAATAAAAACAGCAAATAGAACAGTTTTAACCACATGAAATGGATAATCTCTGGAAGGAATTGATATCTGTAGCATTCAAGTATGTCTGATTGTAAATAAACTAAATCAGATGATCACTCGACAAACTTTGGTCCCGGTTACGGTTTGAGAGCTAAAAGTCATCCTTATAATAAAAGGATCATCTATTCACTATTCACCTCAAAATGTAAGGAAAAATGAATATTAGACCAAACACTGAGTCCAAGAATGCCTTTTCAACATTTTAGTATAAATAGAATTATTTTTAACATTGCGTATACTTACTTTTGTTTTCCGCAATGAATTGACGCATGTTCGATAAACATTCAAGCGAGTTGCTTATTCGACAATTCATTTGGCTGAATGGAGAATATCTGTTTCCATGAAAGGATGTACAGTTTTGCATCTAAAAGATATTGAAAAACCCAAGGCAAGTTACAGGCATACTAGTCAGGCTCGATGCCTGTTATGCTAGTTTTCATATGTCAAAGCTTACTGTTCATGAGAAATCCTATCTGGTGTGGGGTCCAACAAATAGACTCATATGCTTCAAATTTGGTCCATTTCATGTTTGTGTCAAATTACTGTCAAAGACAAATTAGGGCTTTTTGGCACAGAAGGCTTTACGTTTCCTGAGAATCCTTATATGCGTTGTGTAAGATTGATTTCTTTGTCAACTTACTGTTGTGAACCAGTTTTCACCATGATATATTGAAAATTAGATCTTTTTACCATATCAAGATGCAGGATTCTTAGGAACGGTTATCGGAGCATGAGTTCACAAAATTGCCCTAGCCGAACCAACTTGTCCATACGAATTAAGAATGTCCAAATACTATTACCCAGCGGTTTGGTGGACCGATTTGAATCACTTTCAAGTGCGTCCACCTTTCAGTGAAAACACATCAGTGTACCGAGTTTCATCAAAAGCAAAAATTGCGATCTGTAGGTTGAACAAAAAACTTCATGGACAGACGGAGAAACTTATCATCATTATGCTACAAGATGGATCTATTTTAATCCCTTCTAAGCGTTACATACGTGCGCACAATTTTAACGAATCCTATACCACAATTCGTGTAGGGTATATAGAAATTTACTCTGAAAGTGTGAGTGACATACATTTTTGCATCATTTAAAAAAGGCATAATCAGTGTTAGTTAGAAGAAGAAATATATGGTAGACACAGTGGAGAGGCTAATACAATGCGAATATCAAATTTCCCGAGTAAATTTTGTCATACGGAAGTGAATGGCACCTTGTTGAAAAAATCGCCATGTCGTAAGCTTTGTCATATTCCGTACGTTTCTCGCCGTCATTACATCAATTGCTGTTAGAAGCATTCCCTAATGACGGTGGTTGCGCATGGTTGGAAAAACCACATCCAGCTGAATCTTTCAAATGACAGCGCCACGGATATTCAATTTTATCATCGATATTAATGGTCCGGTTAATCTTTATCATTGTTAATCCGTTGTTCATCATCCGCTGCCCTTCAGGAGCAGTGCTCTTTGAATAAAGCAGGAGAAGCCACGTGTCCTGCAAATTACTCTTTTTTTGTAGCATACAACTCGACTTAATTTAAATTCTCGAAAAACGATGCTCTGTATGCCCTCAGTAGGGTAATTTATATTGGTGCAGAAAGCTTAAAGAGATGGACAGATGGACATGTCATAGTTTCATTCAGTGCAGTTTAGTGCCAGTTACGGCTTCTCTTGTCAACCAACAAGAATATATGTTGCTTTCCCCAATATGTCCGCATAAAATGCAGATTTGTAAGCACTTACGCTTCGTGTAAATAATGAATGTGGATGTTCGTACATAGATCGATCTCTGCTTTCATTTGTGCGTGCTTTTACCCTAAGGAAGGTAAGACGTTTTTTGTTTCAAGTTTAAAAGCGGCGCGAGGGTATTACTTATGATTCGTATTCTGAGCGTTCAATTACAATATTTAAGTGGAAAACAGTATCTAGGAATTATCGAATGGGTAATTTTGACTGATTGAAAAAATTATTAAAGCATGCGTGAGGATTTTTATGATAAGAATTTCAATCTAATGTAAATAGATTTTTGCTAGCAATTCGTAACAAACCTCGATTTATTTCTGTGCATCTGAATCCTGTTTAGCAGCCGTGCTCGGGTGGGAAAATAAATAAGGAGAGTAAGGTTTAGCTATGGTCTAAAAGTTGCGCTTTTCCATCGAGACAATCAATTGTCAATAGAAGTGATTGCAACATTCCATGAATAAAAGTTAAATTTGTTTCACAACTGCCCACTTGGCATAGATCTAACGTAACTAATTCCGTCTTAGTTTTATTTTTACTTTTTCTTTTTTTTTTTTTCAAGCAAAAAGGAAATATTTCTACCTAAAGACATATGCATTGAATAACCATGATGAAAGGGAAAGTAAGATATTATGGCGTTGTATGAAAGTATTATAAATGTTAGAAGAGATTTTCCAAGAAAATTCGGTTTGACTTGATTTTTCAATGCTGTAGCACCAAGCATTTAGATACATTGCAGATGAGTTTTAATTTCTGGGGCGGTGTGTGGCGGATATAAAAAAGAATACTTTGAAAATTATTCTTTACTTTATCGAGTTTGTAGTCGCAATTTTTTTTCCTTTTCTATTTCTTTCATTTATCCCGTTTTTCTGCATTGAATATTTATAATTAATTTACTTTTGTTTTATTTTCTAATTTATCTGAACGCGATATCGGTTTTAATCGAATCGTAACTATGCTTCCAATGGACGTAAATATTTCATCGTCCTTTGTTTCTACACAATTTTATGTAAGTACTCAATGTCCAAAATTTTGTTCACCTTTGCGAGAGCTTGCCTTACGTTTCCACAAATCTACCTCTACTCTATCACCTTATATTGTAAATGATTGTGTTCTTGTCCACCAACACCTTTAAATGAAGGTTTCATTTCTGAAACACTCATCTTTTAAACATATATTCTCAAAATTTTGTTTTTCATTTTTTCTTCTTCTATCCTAACAATATATTATTTTTTAATTTTTCATAACAAAATTTATTAATATTTTGAGTGAAAACGTTTTTATTTTTATTTATTGTCGTACAGGCCCATCCATATTTTCGTTTACCATGAATACATTTAAAATTTCAAAATATTGAATAATATTAGAATAAATTCATCTCAAATGCATTTGTTATAAAAAATTATTTACTTATCCGAGCATGAGAAATGTTTAAATAACATGCGCATATTTTATTTCCACAATTGGCATGTTTGTGTTCGTTCGTTGAGTAAAATAATAAAAGCGAAACTTTTCTTTAGTTGTTTTAAGGTCTATTAAATAAACAGTGGTAGGAGTGAACACAGAAGGGAGAAAATTTTAAATCCAAATTGAATTTTTCCTTAATACGTATAATCCAACGGGTAGTCATGGGTATCGAAAATCTGCTCCAAAAACCTTTACGAATTGTTATTCCGCAACATAAATTAAAATCAATAAGAAGATTATATTCGGTAGCGACCGAATCTTATATACCCGTCACCGTTATCCTATTTATATCTATTCTCCAAGTCCTTTTATTTAATACCCATATCGACGGGATTGTGGAGAAAACATTAATCAACCACGTCATGAAGGCCGTGATATTTAATTTAGAATTAACGTACTTAGCTTGTTGCAATCTATTCTCCAATTTAAGATGTAACGTGCATGTGTGGGTGGGAGTTGCGTACACCGAAACGCTTAGACGCTCCGACGCTTCAGCATCGGGATAATGCGGACTGTGTTATGTTTAAGCACACGTACGTTCAGGGCAAGTCCTCTACAGAAATTGTCTACTAATTAAGTCCTTTAGTAGGACTAGAGGGCTTCTCAGCATTCCGACTAACTTGTCCTGGACGTGCCTGTATATTGCACAACACACTACCGTGACTCGTCTACCCGGCTTTGGAACAACCTACTAGCAATCGTCTTTTCTATTGTACCTGATGTCTGCATTTTCAAGTCGAACGTTCGTAAACACTACTCCCTTTCTCACACGATTTCTTCTTATAATTCGTATATAGGTCTTCCCATGAGTGGCTGGTCATAAAAAAAAGCCATAATCAATTGATATACTGTTAAAAAAAAAAATTGCTACGTTTATGACCATATGGACCATATTCACCTTAGAATTAGCGCGTTTTTGACGTATAATATATGTTGAAGTGAGGAATGTACAGAACAATTTTCAATATTCTGTCTTCTTTGCCTCAGAAAAAAATTTAAAAGAAATAAGAAAAAAAAATTTTTTTTGATCACTTATAAGTTTGTATGGGCGCGCCCATTTTTGTTACATGCATAAAGTAAACATAGAAAATGGCAGCCTTCTATTTCTCATAATTTACAAGTAATAAGTAAAAAACCGTAAGTTTTTGTTTGCAGAAACACACAGTTTATTCACAATTTATGCCCGACTGCGGGCTTCTGCTCCGACCAATTTCTCCCATTTTTAACCTGCGTGCAAGAATTTTCAATATTGTTGAGAAATTTGAAGTCGGTGGCTTCATTTTTGCGACCAGGGCCATAGGCATTGATGCTGATAAAGAATATATAGACTTTATGAGGTCTGAGGAGCTTTCTCCTGGGTATTGCAAACCTTTTGACAAAGCGAATATACTCCCTATCGTTCGGTGATGGGTATAAAAAAATAAATAAATAAATAAATGAACTTTCAATTATTGTGCGATGCTATGTGAAGCATGTTCGTTTTCTTTTTACTGCGAATGTGAGAAAAGTTTGCAGCTTTTCAAGCTTTCTTTTATTGTGCCATTTAATCTAAGCCTAATTTTATCTCTTTCATATTTAATATGAAAAGTTAGGATAATAGATACGCAAGCAAACAAATGGCCGCTCTATTCCCCACTTAGGATCTCTGTCGCAATAGTGAACTCTGACTATAATTTTTGCAAGTTTTCGTACATTTTTAATTAAACTTAGACAATTTGATAAGAGTATTCATATTCATATACATAAGTTTTGAAACGAGCCCCCTAATTGTATTCAAAATTGGAAAATGTTTCACACTGAAACCTCTCGCAATATCAGAAAATTATATTATACACAATGCTGATCAAAATTGTTGCAAGTAATACTTGGACGCAAGGATGTGCATATACAGGCTTGGTTTTTGCTATCTCTATTTAGAGGTCTACTTATTTGATCTATGGTCATACAATTTTTTACTTTTTTACTTTATTTTTTTTATTTATTTTTTTTTTTTTGAAGTAGAAATCTGCGCATTTGTATTTCAATCGAATTTTGTGTTATTAAATTTGCTGGATATCGAAGAAACCAATGCAACGACTATTAGTTACTTTAGTAATAGGTTATAAAGCGTTAAGATATATGACTGTTGAAATTAAGTGAGTAATGAAAGAAAGATTACAAATAGATTCGTTCATATACCTTCCAAAATAATCTTGTTTTTTAAGATTACAGCTAAGCCAATCCCTTATCTTTTTCGCATAAAAGGGTATATTGATTTTTTCGAAGCGTTTGCAAAACCCAGAAGGAAGCTTCAGAGACTCCATAAAGTATATGTACGCGTGATCAATATCAAATACTGAATCGATTTAAGTATTTTCGTTTGTGTGTATGTCCATCTGCGTAACTGTGCTCTTAGCGGTAACAATGAAGCTATTGACTTTAAATTTGGCAGAAAGATTGGAAGTTCTTTCATGCACGTTGGTATTGAAAATTGGCCGGATTGTTTGAAGGACGCGTCTGCAATACGACATAAACTGAGAACACCTTCTCTTTCCCAAAGGAATAAAAAATTGGTGTTTAGTTCATTATAAAAACTTTCACGGGTATTTTATGGGCGATGATGAGAAGAAATGGGAAGAATTGTCCACACCTATTCAGTATTATAATGTATTAAAAGTTTTTTTTTTTTTTCGAAACCTTTATAAAGTACAGAATCAAGCTTCAAAAAGGTCATAATATTATGACCTTATAATTTCTTGGCCAGTTTTAAATTCGAAACGCCCCTAAGCATGTTCGTCAGTTCGTCTAGCCAACTATGTAGTATCTGTGACAAACATCCTCCTGTTCGCAAGGAAGGGTATATCGTCTACAAATTTGCAAAAAAAGGCGGCCAAAAAAACGCGCTTACAACGCTCACTCGCTTATGCAATAAAAGCTGTAAACATCTTTGCTTTCCGTGTGTTTTGCTCATTACTTCCGCTTTTACTTTACAAAAATAGAAAAAATCATCCGCGCGCACCCAACATTGTAGAGTGTAAAGATTTAGTTTTTGGTTCTGTTGCAGTTTTTCTTAGAATAACGGTAATGGGTACAAAAGATTCAGCTACGAAACGATTATAATTTTCTTAGTTGTTCGCGTTCTTATGTTAAGGTTTGCAGTCGGCCTTTATACCGCATTCAAATACCATTAAGTTTCGTTATTGAACGAGACCGGACGTTATGTTGCCTTATTTAACGAGGGATACCATAAAATTTATCTTAAACAAGTGAGGTTCTAAATCGAAATAACACGTCTGCTCGACTCGCTTGTAAATATTCTGCTGACGTGAACTTGTGGACATCTAAGATTTGCCCTAAGACTGAAGAATAAAACTGTTTTACTATATATAGGTATATATATGTGGTAGATATATATATATATATATGTATATAAATGTATATACATATATATATATGTGTATATATATATAGATATATATATGTATATATTTTTTTTTTTTCTTGCAATATTATTAGTAGAAGAAAAATAGAGCTGAGAGCGCTTTTTAAAAATTTATTGAAAAATTATTCCAAGATTATTTTGTTAAAAATTAATTAATTTGTATACCTTTTTACCACAAGTCCTTTTAGTTAAATGGCAATTAGTTGTTGTTTACTTGCATTTCTGTTTACGCTTCCTTTTTTTGGATTTGATTCTCTTTTGTGTAATTAAAATTTTTAAATATTATTTACATCATTAACAAAAATGGATTGTCTTCAACTGAACAATTTCTTTATTTTTCTACACTCTACCATTTCAACATATGATATTTTATCATATAATTCTGATTGACAGTAACAACTGCGTTATGAAAAATTTGCTATTTTATGTTTAACAAAATAATAATAAAAAAAAAAACAAACAAAACAAAACAAAAACAAAAATATACAATAAAAAATGAAAAATGAAAAACTGTCGATTATGTTAACGAAACTGTGAATTGCAAATTGTGATACATTTTCAACAATCGTATTAATCTGTAACAGCAACAAAAGATTATTGAAGCCTGTATCACCCTAAAGGTATGAATCAATTGCAAATGAATGCTTAACGTTTTTAAAAACATACATAACTAATGTTATAATGATAACAATATTGATTACATTTAATATAAAAATTATATAATAATTATGCGAAATCAAATAAAATAAAAATAATATCACAAATTTTATTTATATTCACCTTAGTTTTTTCATTAGAATTTCATTCATTCTTCCAATCACCCCACCTTATCATCATACCTCATCGCAGTTCTCATCATTACGTAATGAAAATCGAAAAAAAATACATCTGTCTTCATATATAGTTTATAGTTGATAAATCGAAATTAATTTGATTGCCATCACTATGCGTACGTTATGCTCATTTCGTAAAAGAAATTTTTAAGTTTGTCGTTACTACTGCCACTTGCGGCCATCTTTCTATTTTATTTTTAATTTACCCAAGAAATTGATAGTTTGAAACTTTGTGGATGTTTTCTTGCATGTTGTAACGCGTTACGGGTTTTTTTTAATTTTTTTTAATTTTTATTCCTTTTCCTCTTCTTGATTTGTTTTAATATAAATTATTATTTTATTTATTTATTTATTTTTTTTCCTTTTTACTTCTTTAACTTTAATATATATATATATTTTTTTAAACCACGTTTGCGTCAGTGTTGCATTTTAATGCACTTCTTACACTTAAATTATGTTTATAATAATAATAAAAAAAAAAATAAAAAAATAAAAAAAAAATTGTACCGATGAAGCCTATTTTAAATGCAATTATCCTTTCGTTTTATTTTAATTGAATAGAATTCCCTTACCGCGGACGGCCAAAAGGAAGACTTTAGCGATTTACCACCGAATCAGCGACGCAAAAAATTGCAAGCGAAAATTGCAGAATTACAGCAAAAAATCGCCCAAGAAACAGCTGCTCGTGATGGTCTAATGAAAATGAAAGTTGTCTATGAGGCAAATTCATCTTTGGGCAATCCCATGACCGTGGAGGGTCAGCTCAATGAGTCTGAGCATAAATTAGAAAAGTTGAAAATCGATTTGAAAAAATACCAAGGCTATCTAGAAAGAGCCAATCAAATACCCATGGCCAGCAACAGTCCGCAAGCGAATCGAAATAATTTACATAATGGCCATCGAGTATCAAGGTAAGGTGATCGATTAGTTTTTTCTTTTCTTATTATCTCTTTTTTCTCTGAATTTTCTTAAATTCTCTTCTAAATGTGATTTATTGCATTCTACTACAGGCATTCCAATGGCAGTACTGAGGATAACAATGAGGATGGTGATGATCAGCCAGACGATGGCGGAAGTTTAAGCAGGTCAGATTCAGAGGATAATGTGGCGCAAATACAAAATGGCCATAATAATAACAATAACGGGTACACTCATAAGTCTATTGTTTTAAAATTCATTCCATTCTTGTAATTGTCATTCATCTGTTCGATCATTTTTCTGTTCTTTTCTCTTCCGTGCCAAAGTAGTAGATATCACTCTTTTATAATCTCATCCAATATTGTTCAAGATTTCTTTTATTTCATAATTGGAAAATATTTCTCATATATTGCTATTAATTTAATTATATTTGTATTGCAATTTTCGCTATAAAAGCATAGATAAGGAAGATAGCATTTCATTTCGGGGAAATTAGACTTGATGTACACATTAACTGGAATAAGTTCTTAGCATACTTTCCAATGAATAGTCTAGAACAATTTTCGACAAATCGTCTAACAACGGCACTGTTATGAGCCCTTCTTGCAAATACTTTATTTTGAATACAAAAGCGATTTTCTAGCACTCTTAGGTGATTTCACATTGCTACGAACTACGGCAATTGACGTGAGGCAATTATCAGTAAAATTTACCTTTAATTTCTAACTGATATTATTCGTATCTATGAACGCGATGCAGTAGAAGATTTTGTTAATCCGTTCGCATAATATTGAATGCACATATATCACAGAACACTTAAAGCACGTATTCTCATGATCATAGTGATGTCGTAATAAACCATGTTCTTCGCATTCTTCTTGTTGAAGTATTCATTCATTGTTACGATTCGGAGAATAAAGTTTGAAGCTTTGATGAAAATCCGACGATTTTAGTATATTTGCGCTTATAGCTCGCTATCTATATCGAATAAAAGTAAAGTTATTCAAGTAAAGTAAAGTACAATTCTTTATGAATATAGTTCGGATTGTGTTTTTCGAATTACTTTCATCTCACAATTTGCGAGCAGTAGCCGATAATCGATTGATGGCAACATGATACAGTACAACTCCCGAGAGTATTTCGTGTTATTTTCCTAATATTTCAGATTTTCAATATTTTCTTTGATATAAATGCTAGAACACTTCATTTGCATATCACAATCACGTACATTTTTTATAGAGTGAACATTTTCGAAGAAATTTTCTTTTATAAATTTTTCATTCACTCACACATATACACTCGCTTAATACAAGCCTCCTTTTATCTGCATATTCAGAAAATTTTGCTTATAAATTAAAGAAAAGAAAAAAAATGTTTTTTATATATGTTTTTATATCTTTTCCATTGATATATACGTGTAGAGTGTCACTATCTAAAACGCATTTAAATAACAGGTACATAAAAAGATGTCGGCACAGAAATTCTAAGAAAATAAATACAATTTTAATTTGTAATTGTAATTCTTTCGAAATGAAACTTGAAAGTATTTAATTTGAATTTTTTTTTTTTTTTTTTTTTTCATTTTAAAATTTTTTTTATAAAAAAAAAAAAAAAAAAAGAAAGAAGAAAACTTTGTAACAATTACGTGTAATTTATTGCATGTGTTCAAATTCAGCAGTTCAGCTAGTCCTGAAAGTGGTTTGGGTACATCACACACTTCATTGCCTGGTTCTGGTCAAGGTAGTGCGCATGATAACGCCATGGGTGAAGACGCCTATTATGAAACGGAAATGGAGCTATTACAGCCATTGGGTACATGTCGGGCACTCTATCCTTTTGAAGGTGAATTGCATTAATAACGATTCGAAAAGCGCATGAAAATGAAGAAAGAGTAAAATTTCATTATCCCATTCCATTTCAGCCACTAGTGAGGGCAGCATTCCAATGAACGAAGGCGAAGTACTACAAGTTATTGAAATTGATCAAGGCGATGGGTGGACGCGTGTGCGTCGCCTTAACAACACCAATGGCTGGGATGAAGGCTTTGTGCCTACAAGTTATATTGAATGTACACTGTATGCTTAATAAGTCAAAATGACGACAACGACGACGACGACGACGACAACACCACAAAAAAAAAACGCAATTTTTTTTTTTTTTTTTTTTTTTTTTCTTTTGAAACTTTTTCTTGTAATAATACTTTAGTAGTTACATCTCTTAACTAGTTTACGCGCTGACATTTGTATATTTGTTTACTACCTTGCTTTGCATAGTATGCAGATATTTTTTTTTGCCCTCTTTTTTCGCCCTTTTTGTTTCATTATGAGAATATATTCTATTATAGGTATTTTTTATGCAAAACGCTGCAGTTATGATATGACTAAGATAAGCAGACGATTAAAGCTGTATATGAAAATCAAAATTGAAAGTATATTTTGGAGGCGTGGCAAATAGTTGTAACAGAATACTTACATTTGTTTCTTAGTCTGCCTGAGATGAAAATTTTTTCATCTCATAATTTCATAATTTTTGTAACAAAATAAGAAAAATAATTTTTTGTTTTGTTTTTTTTTTTCTTTTTTTTTTTTCTTTTTTAATTTCCTTCTTAAATAAAACAGTATAAAATAATTTTGGAAAGTAGAAAAAAGCCAAAATGTGTCCCTCTTTATGAAATATTAAAACAAATAGAATCAATTTACTTAAGTATATATAACAACAGCATATACAAATCAAAAAAAAAAAAAAAATTGCCAAACATTTAAAAACAAACAATGATTTACTGAAGACTGTTTAGAAAGTTTTTTCAAAGTTTCATCGAAGATACAAAAAATACCCTATAGTTCTGTCATTTACTACGTATGAGCTGAAAATTAAAATCGACAAAACTTAAATATTTTTATGAATTCCCGAGAACAGTCATAGCACAAGTTTGATTTTAAATTTAACACACCAACCCAGTATATCGTAAATCCACAAATTTGTTGTGATCTACTATTTCATTTACCGAATATCTTTTTGCAAGTGCAAAGGGCTTAATAAATAAAGTAAAGTCTTACACCAACATAAAAAATCAAAAAAAAAAAAAAAAAAAAACAAGAATTTCGAAATTTTTTTTGGAAATTGAAATTTTCATTTAGGAGAAATCAAACAACTCGATTGGCTGTTATCTGTCTAACAACATTGATAGATGCTAGAGTTAAGCCGTTGTTTTAACTTTTGGAAAATTTGAAAAAAAAAAAAATGATTTGAAACTTGAATCAATTTCTAAAAAGGTCAGTGAACATGCCGCTTTATTAAACGGTGGAAAGCTTAACTTCTTATTTTTCATCTCCAATTCAATTAAATTGCTTATATTGTTTCTGCTTCTGGATGGCGATACAAAGATCGTATATAGGGTTAAGCAAATATGTTCATAAAATTTCACTTCACTTTTTTTCTTTTTTTTTTTTTATTACCTTCGAGATTTCGTAATTTCGTAATTTCGTAAATATTGTAACTTTTAAGACGGTTGTTATGACTTCGTGAACAGAAAATAAAATAGAAATGATAGGAATAGACTTAAAAAGGATGCTAACTGTAATCATTGAAAACCTAAACATTTCACCTCACTCACCTGATTATAAACGTAAAATAAACTACCAGCACCAGCGACCTATTAAAAAAAAGAAACGTAATATTTATATACTACATTAATAAATGGAAAAAAGTATTTTAACTTATACAGACGTATATAAAATAAAAAAAATAAAAATAAAAAAAATAAATAAAAATCTACACAAGATTGACATGCATGTTCAAGCATCAAACGATTGCTCTTACTACATACAGTATGACTTTCATTATGATTTCAGCCTCTTTGAAACATATGTTCACTAAAAATTATTTAAGTACTTGTAAAACAATGTCTTTCTTTTCTATTATAAAATCGATTTGTGTAAAAAATTAAATTACATCTATTTTTTAAATATCCTTAATAGAATATATATTATATATTATATTATTTTCTAAAAATCCTTTTTAATGTTATTTTAGCTTAAGTTTAGATATGTGAGGTAAGGCTTAAGTCAATATATTAATTATTCAATATATTAATTAGTAGCTTTTTTATATATGTATGTATTTGACGTTAATTTATGCAACAACTGCAATCTAATGGTACGCTATAAATAAATAGATATGTGCAAGTATTCTGATTTAATTCCAATAACGCTATTAGAAATGATAAGAAAATCAAAATTACATTCGCTTTGGGTCGAATCTTGTATACCCATCACCTCTCAATACAATCTCAATACATTTTCGTTAACTGTGGCGAGTGCTAGTTGGCCGATCTCTAACGAACTGCTGTTATATATTTTTATTATAGATTTAAGATTCCTATATTTGGACGTATTCTCCCTTCATTAATTTATTGGAAACTTGCTCACTCACGGCTCATGCACATTTTCAGATTTCATTTGTGATATGTTTCTCATTCCTGCATATGCTCTCTAAGTTTTAGTTCTTTCAATTTCTGCTAAAAGTGAGACTTTTAATAAAAAATGATGGAAGGCCGGACACATATAAATAAATCGGACCAATACTGATACTGGTCAAGTATATATATATATATATATATATATATAGAGGATACATGAGAGATATTTCTGCGTGTTATGACTAAAATCTCCACACTATTACTAACAAATCTCTCCCATCCTTTAGTACAAATAGTTGCATTCTAGAAGGGAAACATTAAACGTAAAACAATCTTTGTGATAATTAGATATTCTTTCCACATTTTGTTTATTTCGTGCTTGCTAGAACCTTATATAAGTATATGTCAAAAGAGTACTTGCAAAATATGATAGCCTCCTTCCTTCAATATAGAAGAACATAAAAAAATGCGATATTTGTCCCGGGGCAAATCTTTACTATCTAACGCCTTCAGATAGTATGGAGAGATTTTCAAATATACTTTGGATTGCGAACGTGCCCCTTCTTGATGGTTTTTACGTAGCTGCGAAAATCATTTCCTAAAGAAAAGTTGCGCACCGAAATTTTGCTTTTCTGCTTACAAGCCGATTTCCTTTGTATGTGTGTTCTAAATTTTCTTGGTAGGCGGTTAACGTTCCTTGTTTAAAATTGCTTTGTGCAATGCAGACTTGCAATGTAATTGTCATGTTCCTGCTTTCCATCTTGATTTTATGCCACCGTGAGCGTGACAAGAACGACAAGACGAAAAGGAGATGCCAATGATACTAAATCGTCTAAAAATGTCCATGAGCAAGATTCTTCTCTTTTTCTCTTTACTTATATATTGTATCTGATGCGTACAGCCCGCTTATGCAAATGGAATGATAAATTAGTACACCTTCGCCTTTTAGGGTGGTGGGTATAAATAATTTAAAGCTATGCTACAGTAAACTCCACTGAACTTGATAAGTTGCCTTTGTTTCTTTGATGTGTTTAATGCGTATGACGCTGTCCCGCATATATGTGGGACGCTTGAGCTTTGAATTCTGTTCAGTTTTTATTTTTTTGCTTTATTTAAGTCGAAAGGTTTAATAAACGCAAGAATATTGTACGAACTTTACAGTAAATATATTCACATGTACACACACACACACACATACATACACATACATATACACGCTCTCAAATGGACGTAAATAAAGCCGAGAACATATATACAAACAAATTTACACAAGCACAAACATAAACACACACAGTCACATATACACCATATCACGACTATATTTAACAAAATTATATAAGAAAAATTATAAAAAGGACGAAAACCTAAACAAAAATATTCATATTGTCATTCATAATCATTATATACAATTGCTATTCTATTAAAATTAAAGCAGAACAACTAAAAAACTTATATTCGCTATGGTGCGAAATTTTCGGTACCCACAACCTAAGGTAAACATATTAAAAATACCTGCTATTTTTTCCCCTCCCAATAATTTGTGTATGCCGCGATAGAGTCCATGAGGATAATGTTCGCATAGAATGTTTGTGTTGTTATGGCAAATCTGGTCAGGTTAATATTTGCTAAAGCTTGCTATTAAGTAAAATTTTCTCAAATTTTGACTGTATTATAATGTTTCAACTATTGTGATAAATTTTAGATCATATAGTTTAATATTGATCTAGAAAATTGAATTAAAATTGTTTGGGCCAAGTTTTAGTTCCGCTGGCAAATTTTTTGCTAATTTAATAATATGAACAACAGGCGGATGTGACTAAATCGTCCCAAGATCTTAGGCTAATCAAGATTGCATTTACTTCATGGATTACAGAATGACTAAATTACTATACGTCTAAGCTGCGGGGTGTGGGTATAAGAAAGAAAGATATCATATATTCAGCTATTGTGACACTAACTTTGTATTGCGAAAAAAAAAAAGAAAATGGCGTACAACATTATTAACAAAATCAACCACTTGAAAACTTATATAAATAATAATTAAATAAAAATAATAATAAAGCAAAAATATTAAAATAAAAAAAAAACAAAAAAAACAAAGTTGTTTTAGTTGCATTAAATTTTGATAGTGTTTCGGCCATACCTGGTTTATATTAATAGTAAGGAATTTCCATTTTTGGAATTAAGAAACAAAACTAGTTGCATTAAAGATATTTGAGCATGAGGAAGCTGACACATGTGCTGTATCACTTAAGAAAATTAATTGATGCAATTTTGTCGCGGCAGGAAGAGAAAAAAAAGAAGAAGATTGTCTATTAAATACGTCATAGGTCATACGCGCGATGGCATGACAAACATCGTGACTGGTATTGTAGTGGAATTTACGCTCTTTCGCCACTATGACATACTTGGGCCAGGAACTGGATTGCTTGTTTCTGCGTCTAACATATGTAAGTAAGGGAGTTTCCGCTTGGACGAGCGAAAATGCTTGGAAGTATTGGCGAAACGCAACTACCCCAGGTTCGAGTATATACAAGTACGGTCTGTTTGCATGTGGTTTAATGCGGATAATAAACGATCTCGTGCAGATAAATGCGATGTTCTTTAAATTGAATATTTACTCTATAACTGAAATTTCTTACAATCATGATACTTTAATAGTTAATCTCTCAAATGACAACTTTTTAAACTTTAAGGCGAAATTTTTCAAGAACTATTTCGGTCTTATATATTTTGCATTGATAATCTTGCGCAACGTGAGCTTAAATGTAATCAGGTGGGCATTTTGAGCTCCCGAAGAAGTTATTTGTAAAACTCCTTTATTGCATTTGTTTGTGCTACGTGTTCAGCTAACTAATAACGGCGAAAATTCAGATTCTGGGGAGCAACGGTCCTTCCTTTCGTAGACAATTTTAATATTAGAGATCTGTCCCGTCCATAGATGTCACGCGGGCAAATCTGAGTTAATTACATTCTTCACGAAAGTGTTTTAACATTTATAACCAAGAGCAAGAGCCATCCTTTAAGGCGCCCCCCTTTGATCCAAATGCTTATCCTCACGGCTATTCATCGATCAAAATCTCTTTAACTCGCCTTACTTACCGAAACAAGACTGAAATGTATTTGGTACACGCATGTCTTATTGGTCTCTT